CCTTTGAAGTCCAGTTGAGGTGGAGCAGGGTTCAGGGTTCCGCCTTCTTCGGTATCTAGGGGTGGTTGCATTTTCTTAGGGTTTAAGAAGGTTTCAAGTTCAGGGCGGGGGATGAGGGTTTAGGGTTTCGGGTTTAGAGTTTGGGGGTTTGAGTTTAGGGCCCAGGGCTTAGGGTTTAAGGCAAACTTCAATCGGGTTTGGGAACCCGCATCCCTGAAGAGTTTCCGGGGCCCCCAACAGTCCTCCACCGAGTCTGGTACCCAGTTCCAACTATGAGGAAAACACTAAACCCTAAACCCTAAACCCTAAACCCTAAACCTGAAACCCTGATCAAGCTCGCCAGGCCCTTGGAACATTTCATATTTTCCCTTATCGGGTTTAAGAGGAGCGCATTCAGGCAGATTTTTCAGAGGCTTTCAAGGGCCATCCCAGCAAACCCTAAACTCTAAGCCCTAAACCCGAATGTCCAGAGAACTGCCCGTGTCCACCCTGTGCATTCACCGCAGGCTTCCTCCAAGCCTGGCGAGGCGGAAGAGGAAATGACCCGGGAGGCGTCTGAGGGTTTAGGGTTTTAAGGTTTAGGGTCTAGCCTTCAAACCCTACAATCCCTATAAAACCTACAACCGCTACACCTAGAAGCCCTTTTGATTCCTAAGCTACTCTGAGGCCGCAGTTTGGGCGTAGAGTTTTGGATCAGACTGCCAAGGTTCTGAGGGTAGTTGCATGGTCCCTTCGTATGGCCCCTTACCTGCTGTAAAGGGTTCTGAAGTATGGGCTCTTGGGTTTTTTTGGGTTTAGGGTTTAGGGCTTAGGATTTAGGGCTACTAGGGTACCCGAAGTAAGAGGGGCCGCCTGCAAATAAGTAGTGTAGAGAAGTGACCAATATAGGGGGTACATAAGGGGTACCCATCTAAGAGCCCCTACTCAGGAAACCATGTGATTACCTGGAAGTTGGGTACTTATAGGTAGGGTTGTAAGTACCCTAAATAAGGTAATGGCCAGTTATAATCATACCTGCCCTGCTTATCACCCCACCTGTCACTACCCATGAACCTCCTAGTAGCCCTAAACCCTAAACCCTAAACCCTGAACCCTAAACCCTAAACCCTAAACCCTAAACCCTAAACCCCAAGAGAAGGTGCCGCCGGTCGAGGCGTCGGAGCCTGTTGCCGAGGAGGCCGGAGACCCTCGGAGCCCCAAATCCCCCCGAAAAGCCCTTAAAATAGGGTTTAGGGTTTAGGGTTTGGGGTTTGGGGTTTGGGGTTTAGGGTTTAGGGTTTAGAAAATAGGGTTTAGCTCCAAAAGCCGCGGGGAAACTGTTTAAAGCCCCTCAATCAAAACCCTTAAACCCCCTAAAGACGGAAAAACCACCCCAACCCCTCGAAAGCTACGGTCGATTCCGTGCGTGCCGGACTTGCAGATTTGAAGGTTTCGTGGTGCCCGAAGTAGGTCCCATTGAGTGACGGATGCATTCCACGGACACAGGAAGTCTCGGGTTCGGAGAATACGGCTTGCAGCTAAATGGGGGGAGGGGGTGATCCCCTGATAAGGAAGATTTGTTTGGTGGGATTCTTAAGCCAATAGGTAATTGTTTAGAGATTTCTGGTACTGTACTGCGCCAATGCTCCAGGGGGAGGGGCAGAAAAGCAACCCTATTTTGAACCCTATTTTGAATGCTAAACCCTAAACCCTAAACCCTAAACCCTAAACCTTAACCCTAAACCCTAAACCCTAAACCCTAAACCCTCTACCCTCTAAACCCTAAACCCTAAACCCTAAACCCTCAAAGCTGGTGTTGAGGCTCCTCCAGCGCCTGCTCCAGTGGAGGAGCCTGCTGCAGAGGACGGTGCTGGCCGATGCTTTGAGAATGCGATTTGGGATGCTCACCCTTATACTAACAGCTCCTTAAGAGGCTTAGGGTTTATAGGGTTTATAGGGTTTGTAGGGTTTAGAGGGTTTATGGGGTTTATAGGGTTTATAGGGTTTATAGGGTTTCTAGGGTTTATAGGGTTTTAGGGTTTATAGGGTTTATAGGGTTTATAGGGTTTATGGGGTTTATAGGGTTTGTAGGGTTTATAGGGTTTCTAGGGTTTATAGGGTTTATGGGGATTATAGGGTTTATAGGGTTTATAGTGTTTATAGGGTTTAGGGTTCCTAAATAGGGATTATAGTTCCGCTATGATAATCCCGAATGAGGACTGTTAGTATAAGGGGGAACATCCGAAAAGAGGATCCTAAAGCCTAAGCCTAAGCTCAGAGCTCTAAACCTTGAAAGGTAAGCCCCAAACCTCTAAACCCTCAACCTTAAAGCCAAACCTGAAAATGGGAGTTTCCTAAAAATCAGGAACCCCAAATATCGACCCCCCTGCAAGTAAGATTCCCTCTAAGATACACCGGTTCTCGTAAACCCCCTAAATGGGGTTTCGGGTTCAGGGTTGATGCCTGAACCGTTTAGGGTTAGGGTTTAGGGTATAGGGTTTAGGGTTTAGGGTTTAGGGGCCTGCACCCTGAAACCCCAAGGTCCCGGAATGACCCACTCCAAGCTTCAACCATGAGGGCCCCAAGGCTTCATCGGCTTTAGGGTTCAGGGTTCAGGGTTTAGGGTTTAGGGTTTAGAGTCAAGGGTTTAGCGACCATCTTGCTCAGAGCCTTCACCTGCAATTCATCTAGGCCCTCGGAATATTCGTTTGTCTTCCCCTTCTCGTGTTTTGGAGGATCCTACTCAAGCATATTATCTTTCAGAGGGGTTTACTGTAGGGTTGGGGTTTTAGGGTTTAGGGGAGCCTACTGTAACTGTAAGGTTTTTGGTTTCAGGCGAGGATTCCAGACACGCTGGGGTAGGGTGAGGTTTTAGGGTTTTAGGGTGAAGTGCTGTGGTTTAAGGGGTCAGAGTTTAAGGGCACCTTTTGAAAGGGATTTCTTGAGGAACTGTGTCGACAGTCTAACTTATGTAGCGATGCTTCTTGCAAATGGAACTGATTAGAACAGCGCCTCAGATGCTTTTGGGTTTAGGGTTTAGGGTTTAAGGTTTTGGGTTCAGGGTTCAGGGTTCAGGGTTTAGGGTTTAGCTGCCTGAACTCCTCCTTCACGTCGAAGCCCTCCAGTCAGACCCCCGACCCAAACCCCAAACCCCTTGACCTTACAATCCTGAAGGCCTAACCTTTGTCATAGTTGGGTATCATTTTACATGTTTAAAGGTACTTAAATCCAAGAAGGAATATAAAAGTAGATTTTTTTAATATTATCCCAACCATGAACTAGTAACCCCTGAGTCTAGCACCCAGCAGCTCTCAGCCCGAAACCTCAAACCACCAATTCCTCAACCTCCAACCCAAGACCTGGAGCAAAAGAATCATGGGTTCCCCTACCCCCCCCGTCTATACTACCCCCCCTTGGTCCCCCCCCCCCCCCATAATTCAGGCTATTTAGGGATAGTTAAGCCTAATTTTGGTTCTTTAAGTGGCCGAGTGAACCCAAAATCTCCGAATCACTTTCGGTAGACGAGCGAGGCTGTACATAGATGGGGTCGGTTTCACATCGGATCTCATTTGTAGCTTGTCAGTTTTTGTGGGCAGGGCGCCTTTGTAAGAGGAAGTGGCTTGCCTGGGTGGGGGGGGGTGTGGGTGTGGCTTCTAGAAGGTTTCTCCTCGAAAGAGTCGCTCTTTTTTTGGACTTCTGGGGAGGAGACACAGATGCCTCCTGCTGTGCCCGCAGAAGCCGCTCCCGAGGAGACTTTCTGATTTCTGGGTGCGCAAGAGCCCAACGCATATTTGATCAGGCGCTCTGCGGCGCCCCCCCGCAGCCCCCCCCCAAAGGCATGGCAGCCCCCTGCCTCCCACTTGTGGTGTGGTTCTGAGTTGGTTTTGGGGCTGGGTTCGGGCTTTTGTAGGGTATTTTCGGGCTTCCAAAACATCGGAGTCTCTGGTGTGGTGTGCTTTTAGGATGGGTTTTGCTACAGATTCAGAAAAAGGACACCCCGAAACACTCTAAACATCTGGAACGCCCTTCTTTAAATACGTAGCGTGTCTCTCTGGTGTGGCTGTGGGTTGGTTTAAGCGATTGGGGTTTAGGGTTCCAGGCATGTAGGGTTATAGGGCTTGGCTTGTCACGGTTGGGGGTTTTAGGGTTTAAGGTTTTAGGGTGTCAGGGTTTGTAGGGTCTTGGGATCATGATCTGTGTACTCCCCCCACCCCTGTGGTGTGGCTGTGCAGCGGTTGTGGAGGTTTGGGTTTAGGGCTTCTGGTTCAGTGCTGTGGCTTTTTCGGGTTTTGGGGCTTAGGTTTGGGCTTGGGGTTTTAGGGCTTATGGGGTTTCGAGGTTTAAAGCTTTTGCGTAGGGTTTGGCCTTAGGCCTTGAGGGCTTTGGGCCCCTAAGCCCTCTCCAACCCTAAATCCGGCCCAAAGGCCCCGAGACCCTCAGAGCGGCCCACCCGCCCCTGAAACCCTAAAGCCCGGATCCTAAACCCTAAACCCTAAACCCTATACCCTATACCCTAAACCCCAAACCCTAAACCCTAAACCCTAAACCCCAAACCCTAAACCCTACACAGTAAACCTAAACCCCAAATCCTGCAGGAGCCAGCTGCCGAGGCACCGCCAGCCGAGGCACCGGCGGCGGCAGCTGCAGAGGAACGGTTTCGGGTTTAGGGTTTAGGGTTTAGGGTTGAGGGTTGAGGGTTGAGGGTTCAGGGTTCAGGGTTCAGGGTTTGGGGTTTGGGGTGTGCGGTAATTTGTCTTTCCTCACAAAGGTGCTGCTTGTATATGGGGTTCAGGAAGGGGGGGAGGGGGGGGGGCGAAGCCCTCACTGGGCCCCGGGATTTCGGATGTTGTTTGTGATCCTGGTGGCCCTGGATATGTACAACGTAAAGCCTTACATCCCGGTTCTTTGTGCGCCATCGCCGATAATTACCACCCGAAGCTGCACGCAGTGCTCGAGCGTACTTTCGGGGGCTTTACACCAGGCATCTTTGTCGCAGTGTCGGGGCAAGGTGTCTTTGTGCCATGAAGATGAGGCGAAAGGGCAGCGGCGCCTTATCATGGAGTAAACTCGTAGTCGCAGGCCAAGCTCTAGCTCTGCTCTTTGCAGCTTGTCCTCAGGATTTTGCTGCGGGCAAGCAGAGTTCGCTCAAGTTGCTGCGCGAGCGTGAGGGTCTTGCGCTCAAAGCGAAAGCCGAGATACTGCCCCTGAGTGATGATAGCCAGCTCCTGCTGGCACGAATTGTCGATGCAGGGGAACGGGGTGACTGGCAACGCATTCAACAGATGTTCTCTGCGTACCATCAATCAGAAATCCAAATTCACACCGCAGTCATGCACGCAGCTATCATGTGTGGGCAATACAGCAGGGGGGCCAAGGTTTACGAATCCCTTTGCGCACTCAACGTGACCAAGACAGCGCCGGCATACACGCAGGCCCTTAAAATCTATGCTCATCTGGGGCTGCGAGACGTTGTAGATCGAGTCTGGGCCGAAGCTCAAGCTTGTTGTGAGTTGGACCAGCCCTTGGCAGCAGCACGCATTGATGCAGCTGCATCTGTGGGAGATGTGCAAACGGCTGCTTTTGTGCTAGACAGGATGAACAGAAGCGGCGTCAGCGTCAATATTGCACACGTCACATCGGCCATCCGCGCATGCTGGGAAACAGAGGGTCACGGTCACAACGCTGCTAGGTTTCTGTACCAGCTGTTGCTCGACTTGGGTCTTAAGCCAAATGTAGTGACCTTCACATGTCTCATTGGAGCTTATAAGACGGCGCCTCTCGAAGACATTCTTGCAGCGATTGCCGACATGCAAGCGATGGATATTGCGGCGAACACCGCTTTTGTCGAAACTTTTCTGATCACTGTGCTCCGAAAGCCACGGGATGGTCGTTGGAGCGTGGCTGACATCATCGCCATGGTGCCTACATGGCCTTCGGGGCGTGTTGCCGCTGCCAAATCGGCACTTGAAGACTTCAAGCGCGAGCACATCCAGCTCTCGCAGCTCAGCCGAAAGATAGACCTGGCATTGCAGCAGGTGGATACAGGCGACGATGTCTGACTGGAAGTCAAGAGTTCTAGACGCACACTGGGAGGAGGGCAGAGCCACTTTGCAAAGAGCTCCGGTAGACCCGCCCTCAAATGGGTTTACATGGGCTGCTCAAGACTACCCGTAGCCCTCCATGTCTGGGTCGAAGACCGGAAGCTGCAGCTTGCCGTGACTTGAAGGAGCCGCCTCTGAACAACCTTGGGCAGCGCCTTTGCCATCCATGCCCAAGAAGAGCGATGCAGACTTACGGGGTTAAAAGCAGGTTTGCAAGCTCCAAGGCATCGAAGATAGACCCTAAAGCTTGACAGCCTAAATCTACACCATACGTACCTCTTATCAAGCCCTCTAAACCCTCATAAGCCCTACGCCCCAAACCCCTCAAAACCTTCAACGCCCTTACCTCCCAGGACCCTGAGTCCTTCGTTCCTTGGTTCCCTTGGAAGCCCCCTAAACCAAAAAAGCGTCTACCGGGGGCCAAACACGTACATTTTTCAGACTATGCGCAATTTTGTCCATTGCACTATCTCTTTACCCCCTAAACCCTAAACCCCAAACCCGAAAGCCAAAACCCTACCCCTTAAACCGAACCCTAAACCCTAAACCCTAGACCCCAAACTGCCTAGAGCGCCGCTGTGCGTTTGCATGGGCGGTCGAGGCTTTTGACCGAGGCCGTCGGCCCAGCGTCTTGACAGAACGGTGAGGGAGGGCAAAGCCTCCTGGGGCCTGCAGTGCCTGGCCACGCCTCAGACACTAGGGCGTAAGCCCTATCCCGACCTGACAACTGTCTAAGCCTAATTTGGACTCCTGAGCCCCCTCTGCCCTGGGACCTCCCTGGGACAGCTCTGCCCCCTGGGACCCCTCTAAGATTCCTGGCTCGGGACGCATTGAAAAATGCGGGTTGTCTAACATCACTGACGGTTTTGGGCGGCCCCATTTTGGCTCCAGGACCCTCCCTGCAGCAGGGGCACTCTTCCTCTTAGAGTTCGGAAGGAAGTAAGAAACAAGAAAGCCCCCCTTGAGAGGTCTTGGGGGGTGAGCCCTGAACCCTAAATGAGGGTGGTTTCGGTGGTTGGGCCTGGACTACATGCTAACGCAAGCGAGCGGCTTAGGGTTTAGGGTTTAGGGTGTATAGGGTTCAAGGTTTAGGATTTAGGGTTCAGGGTGTAGGATTTTGATTCAAACACCCTTCACAAGAGCAAGTGGGGTTGTAAGGGTAACTAGTATTATAACCAATTTTTAACCATTTTAAAAATGCTTATATAACCCTACTTATAGCTACCCACTCTTGTTTTCTCTTAGAACCTATAGACCCTAAGCGTCAGAAGCTCTGCAGCCTGCAACCCTCTACCCCCCACCTGGCTAGCACAGGCCCCTCCAGCCCCCGAGCTCCCGGAAACGGCTCCGGAGGCAGGGTTTACGAGTTCAATGATTCGGGAGGCTTCAGAAGTTGGACGTTGCAAGGGTTTCGATCCCCGGGTTTTTCGGGTTGAGGTTGCTGGCAAGCGTTGCGCCCGCAAGCCAGTAAAGAGTCCTGAAAAGTTCCGAGGCACTAAACCATCAATCTGGAATCCAGAGCTGTAGAGCGTCAGACGCTCCACCGTGAGAAGGTTTGCTTCGCAAAATCGAGGGCAGGACTATGTATAGGGATGAGGGTTTAAGGTGTCGTCTTTAGGGTACTTATGGCTTTTTTTGCAACTGCCAAACCCTACAAGCGAGTCGGGCTTTACTCCGGAATACCGGGCCGCAGGAATCTCGCAAGTGCCCGGTGCCCCGAAACCTCGCACCCCCATGATTCCTGTCTTCGCACCGTGGGTCCGGAGCAGGGGCTGGTCTATGACTCTACAAGTGCCCTACAACTCGAAGCCCCTTAACCCTGAAGGCCAAACCCCAAACACCCCTCATCCCTAATATGACCCTTATAGAACTGAGACCGGAAGCTTCAAAAGCCCTGTAACCCTCTACCCCAACCTGGCTCAGGCCCCTCCAGCCCCTGAGCTCCCTGAGACGGCTCCGGAGGCAGGTCAGGGTTTAGGGGTTCAATGATTCGGGCTCGGGTTTATAAAAGGTTTGGGGTTGCGGGTTTGGGCTGTGGGGTGGGTGGGGGGGGGGGGGGGGAGGGAACCCTGGGGCCGGGGACCGGCGAAACGCAAACCGGGAACGTTGGGAAGTTTAGAGGGTTTAAGGTTTCACAAGTACCCAGTATCGCAGCTAGGACCCGATGCCCAACTCCGCTGCACCGACACGCATGGCTTTTGCGGCAGCCCCTAAAGCACCGTAAGGTTTTCACCCCTCCCTGGCTGGCGCAGGAGGGGCCCGGAGGTCGGGTTCAGGGGTTAGGGGTCCAGTGTGATTCGGGCGTAGTTTTCAGGGTTTCAGGTTTTAGGGGTTTCGATCTCCGGGCTTAGGGGAGTGCGTTTAAGGGTTTCGGGCTAGCGGGGGCTTAGTGTTGCGGGTTTGGGTTTTCGGGTTGAGGGGGAGATTCAGGCAGTAAGCGTTGCACCCGCAGTCCCCGCTTTAAAGAATCCTTACTCGGGTTTTGCTCCGGAATACCGGGCCCCAGGATCTCAATAGTACCCCGTGTCCCGACATTGTGGCACACGGCGCCCTGGGCCCTGCGCCCAACTCCACTACACCGACATGCCTGTTGTTTTTGTTTGGACCCCTTAAACCCAGCTTGTTCATGTCTTCACTGTGACTCCGAAGCAAGCCTTACTCAGTGACTCCCCTTAAACCCAAACTCTGAACGCCAAACCCCCAACACCCCAAGCCCCTAATGTGACCCTTAACTCATAGACCTTAGACCTGAAGCCTCAAAAGCCCCGTAACCCTCTCTCCCAACCTGGCTGGCACAGGCCCCTCCAGCCCCCGAGCTCCCTGAGACAGCTCCGGAGGCAGGGTGCAGGGCTTAGGCTTCAGGGTTTAGGGTTTAGTAGGGTTTAGGGTTTAGGGTTTAGGGTTTAGGGTTTCGGGTTTAGGGTTTAGGGTTTAGGGTTTAGGGTTTAGGGTTTCGGGTTTAGGGTTTAGGGTTTCAGGAGTGCGGTTTGGGGCTTTATAGGCTAGCGGGGGTTCGATCCTTTGGCGGCCTCCAGCCTTGCTGCAAAGAATCCCGAGCCCGGTAGGCTCTGGCCCTTCAATCTGCAAGTCTGAAGTCCAGAGCTGTAGAATCCTTAGGCACCCAACGCTCCACCTTCCACAAACTCGTCGTTTCGTCCTCGGGTTTACTTCGTAAACCCTAGGTTAGGGTTATATGAGGGGTTGAGGGCTTACGGTTTCTACTTCAGGGTACTTATAAATCTACAATTAGCACTTGCAACCGTCCCAAAAGGGCGCCGCTAGCAACTTGCACCCAAGTCCGCTCCGGAGAGATGAAAGACTCTTTCGGCAGCCCTAACCTACACCGCTCCGTTTCACGTCTTCGCATCGTGGCTCCGAAGCAAATTGGCAAACGCTACTCTACTACGCCACTCTATGACCCTACAACCCTACGCCCCTACGCCCAAGCGCCCGCCAAACACCCCTAAATCCTATGTGACCCAATACTTTGTCACGTCTGGGTACCATTTTATATTTTTAAGGGTACCTAAACCCAATAAGGAATTGAAATTCAAATTTTAAATATTATCCCAACCATGAACTAGATTAAGGCTTAACGCCCTAGAGCCCGGTAAGCCCCTACCTCTACTCGCCAGGCAGAGGCCCCTCCAGCCCCCGAGCCTGAGACCGCTCCGGAGGTGGGGTTGAGGGTTTAGGGTTTAGGGTTTAGGGTTTAGGGTTTAGGGCTTAGGGTTTAGGGTTTAGGGTTTAGGGTTTAGGGGTCCAATGATCCGAAGGTTTTAGAGGTTTCGATCTCCGGGTTGAGGGGAGTGCGGTCCCCATACTTGTGTAGGCCTACTTGCGACCACCAAGCCTACAAGCTACTCGGGAATCAGGGTTTTAGGGTCCAGGGTTTAGGGTATACAAGCTACTTGGGCTCCTAAGCCCTAAGCCCTAAGCCCTAAGCCCTAAACCCTAAACCCTAAACCCTAAACCCTAAACCCTAAACCCTGAACCTCCAAGTGCTACACCCTCGACGCAGAGGCCCCGGCGGAACCCGCGCGGCCGGATGCTGCGCCGGAGGAGCCCGAGGTGCCCTGGTTTAGGCTTTGTGGTGCTTTACTGTAACTTTACATCTTTAGCCTTTTTGGGTTTATTGGGTTTCCTAAGAAGGCAGCTAAAAATTAAGTTTATAGCTACCCTGCTAAGAGCAGCCAAGTAGGGTTTAGGTTTTGGGGGCTCAGAGTCTAGGGTCTATAGGGTCTATAGGGTTTAGGGTCTATAGGGTCTATAGGGTATAAGGTTTAGGGTTTAGAGTCTAGGGTCCAGGGTCTGTAGTGTTTAGGGTTTCGGATCCAGGGTCTATAGGGTTTAGGGTTTAGGGTTTAGAGTCTAGGGTCTATAGTGTTTTGGGTTTAGGGTCTAGGGTCGGTCTATTGGATGTAGGGTTTAGGGATTAGGGTTCAGGCTTCAGAGTTTAGGGTTTAGGGTTTAGACTTAAGTAGCAGGGTGTTATGTTTGTTTTTTGGCTGTGACGGTTTTTGAGGTTTTTTCAAAGCTTTGGCGGTTTTGAGACCTTGGGCTTTCGGGGTTTAGAGTTCAGAGAGCCTCTGTCTGTTGCAGGATGAGGCTCTGAGTCACATGGACATTTCTCAAAATAGGGGTACCCCTTTTATACCCCCAAATAGAAAAAGGACCACAACTTAGAATGAGCCACTGCTCACGAGGCGCCGCCGGCTGTACCCCCAGCTGCTGCAGAGGAGGCCCACAGTGCCTGTTCCCACGGTTGACTTTGCCCCGCAACATGGGCTTGGGGCCTAGGGTTTAGGGTGAAGGGTTGAGGGGATTATGGTTACCAACTCCCTAAACCCTGAACCCCACAGGGAGGGGTTGGATATGGGCGAGGATTTTGGTGATTTAATTAACAGATTCGAGGCCTTGTCTGGGCCGTGACACGTGACGCCCTAAAGCTACAGAGCCCAGAAGAGAACCCAGAATTTCCCTACCCAGAGGGCCCACGTAGTACCTTCGTGGAGTCAGGGTTTCGGGTTGGTACCAGAAAACTCTTTCTCGTATGGGTGTTGGTGCCTACCGCCAGAAAGTACTGCAGCAGACCCTCTAGGCCTGGGCCTCCCGCCAACCCGAAGCCCTAGGCGCACCTCAACACGTGCGGTCACAGCTCAAATGTACCTTTGGGCACATCCCTAAAGTTGTTTGCCCTCGCCCCACCCCCCCATCCCCACCCTCCAAAGAAGAAAAACACAAATAGAATAAACTACAAACTACACATTAACCAAAACCTTTACCCCAATATGCCGGTGTAGACACCAAAAGTGTGAGAGACCATTTGTGAGCCCAGACGTCCAAAAGCGACGGCAGGTACGCGTTTCGCAAGCCCAAACCTTCAAAGCCACGACTGTTTCGCATTTCGCGTGCTCCGACGCCCACAAGCGATGAAGATGCAATGCTATTAGAGGCTTTAAAGGGTCTGTAGGGGGTTTGAAGGGTTCGGGATTTCGAGAGGTTGAGGGTTGTACGATTTCTTTCACATGTCGGGGTTTCTGACATGTAGGGGGCACCTAGTTGGGGTTCTTAAAATGAGGATTACAGTAGGGTATTTTGGGGGACTGTCAGGGGGCACCCTATCTTAGGACATAGAGAGGGTGCGGCCATGCTCTCTCGGAAGTGGTCCTGAGAGGAGGGTCGGAACATTTTGATGGGAGAGGGGAAGGGTGGACCATGGGCCATGGGGGAAGCGCGATGTGCGATTGATGGAAGGGTTCGGGAGAGGGGAAACCCTAAACCAACAACCCCAAACCGAAACATCCTAAGGCGGGTCGCAATGTCCAGCCCAAGCCGTTGAACGTCACCTTAAGATGCCTGAAGTACCGTTTCAATCGTCCTCGGACCCTGTACCCTGAAGCCTAAGCCCCAAACTGGAGCCCAGGAACCCTAAACCCTAGACCCTAAACCCTAAACCCTAAACCCTACACCCTAAACCCTAAACCCTAAACCCTAAACCCTAAACCCTAAACCCTAAACCCTGACTATGAAGCGTAGATTCTTTCAGTGCACGGTAGTGGACTTTCTGGGAAGGCTCCACCCGAGGCCGAGGCCCTGCTGGATTGGGCTTGGGGCTTTGTGGCTAACCCTAAACCCCAAACCCCAAACCCCAAACCCTAAACCCTAAACCCTAAACCCTAAACCCTAAACCCTATTCAAGAGGGTTCAGGAGGTTGGGCCTTCGGGTTGACTTGAAGTGCTGAAGGGCGGGTTTTGGAATGCTTCCCCGAGAAGTTTCAGCCTCAAAGCTCAGACGCCCCTAGAATCTGTAAACCCCGAAACCTCACATCAGCCCATATAACCCTTTGTACGAAAAACCTCTATGCATATCTTTCATAGTGCGGGAAATCCTCCTCGGTATATTAATTTGTGTACACGAGACCTACAGTTATTTACATCATCATTGCTTACAAGCTTTATTGTATAACTTTTTTGCATGTATTTTGTAGTTGTATGGACGGTTCTGGCTTTGTAAGCTTTATAACTGTTATAAGAAAGTTATAGTTGCACAAATATTTTGATTTTTCCCATAGAATTATCATCTTTGTAAATGTTATAAGTTGTTCGAGAGTTATATGCCTTAGACTTTTATAAAACTCAACGAGGTTTTCTGGGTCGCCGGAAACCCAGATTCTTATGAATTTATATGAAGTAGGGTATATATTTCTTGTACCCCCAAAAGGACACCCGGTATATACACTCACCAATATTAAAAAGGAACCTTATATACACTCACTAAAAACAGTAATATAAACCCTGCTTCATATAAGTTCTACAAAGTGTTACTTGAAAGGCAAGAGGCTGACGCATGTAACAAGTTTAAACAAATCTAGACTTTCGGCGACCCAGAAAACCTGAAACTCATATGCAGAATTAAAAAAGTGCAAAGTTTGCCGTACTAAAAGAAACCTGGCCTTGATAACTTGAATACCTAGTAGCAGAGTAGGTAACCTTTAGCCTTGTTGGGGGGTGGTAGAATCCCCTTAGAATCCCAAAGGTTAACCTTTAATTCCCCCAGGTTACTGGACCACTAAGAATAGGTTTCTAGGCAGGCCCTTGGGACATTTTATATTTTCCCTTATTGGGTTTAAGAGGGTCATGTTCAGGAATATTTTTCAGAGGGGTTTAAGGGCCATCCTAGGTTTTTATATACTTGAAAATGCTGGAGCTTTTGGGCCTGGAGCTGCTCAAAGTGAGGAGCCCCCAGGGCCGAGCGAAGGTGGGTTTAGGGTTTAGGGTTTAGGGTTTGGGGTTTAGGGTTTAGGGTTTAGGGTTGAGGGTTTTAGGCCCAGAGCTGCTCCAAAAATGAGGAGCCGGAGGCCGATTTTTTTCAGAAACTGGTCCCCCGCACTAGGGCACCCTAAGTTTCTTACCTCAAAGGCAACCCCTCAACCCCAAACCCTAAACCCTTAACCCTTAACCCGAAACCCTAAAGGCAACCACAGATCGCCCAGAATTCCCGTGGCAACAAAAGGTGTCAGCGCCCTTGGTTTGTAAAGAAACGCGAACGGACACATGCCAAGGCCCCTGCACTTCGACAGACTTCAATATTGCAAGGCCTCTACTTTTTCGGTCGGCTCCGTTCATAGAAAAAGTGACTTGATTCATAAAAACATGAACTGACTCATTGAGCTCTTCTACCAATACTTCCGTGTGATGTCATATCGTGCCTGCTGTATATGCTTTTTGTTTCTTAAAAAAATATATGATAGCTTAACTGTTCGCGCGTTTTTGCTCTCCTACTTTTGTGAAACTTTAAGTTTTGTTGTGACGCTGCGTGGCGTTTCCACATACTTCCGTGGCGGTTTTCATTCTTAGTTTGTTTTGACAGAGAAATTTCCATACACATTACACATAATGCGTGAGAAGTAACTTGTATTTGCGCTTGAAAATTCATGTAGTTCTGGTAGTTTGTTTCGGAGCTGCAGCGTGCAAGTTTCGTTCATTAGTGTTTGGAAATATTCACTGCGCATGTTTAAGAGATTTGTTCTGTGATTTCGTGTGCCTGTAGGTTTTTGTGCTGTTCTACCAGTACCAGTGATACCTTGTCGCTTTTCCATCTTCCTTTTTTCAGCGCAGAAGAGCAGTTTGCAGATGTCGAATCATGTGAATCACATGCGTACAGATGTGTGAAAATGCTGCGGCATGTTTTGTAAACAATGTTTCCTGGATGCCGCATTTTCAAAAACAAAAAACATCAGCCCAGAAAACAGTGTAGACTAGAGGTTCCTGATAGATATTATCCAAGTCGCTTAACCCTCAGCCCTAAACTTAAAGCCTTACAAGCTAAACCCTAAACCCAAACGCTAAACACTGAACCCTAGACTGTAAATACTTCGTCCGAAACCTAACCAAAACCTCAATAGGCCAATGTCATAACTTGGTCGTTTGGGATTCAGGATATTCAATAGGGTTTAGGATTTAGGATTTAGGAAATAGGATTTTGGGCTTTGGGTTGTTGTGCCACTTTCCTCTTCCTGCCTAGCCTTATCCTGGGACCCCCTTGGACCTGTCTGGGACCTCTCCTACCTTTCTGGGATGTTCTGGGAGCGAATCTGGAGCACCCCTCACACAGGCGCTAAAGCAAGTCTTTATGAAGGAGGAAGTTTCCGGAAGCACGCGTGTAGAGATAGTGCCGTTTCAAGCAAGAAAGCATATATGTATATACAGATATATATATATAGTTTACAGGCAAAGGGGTTCTGGGGAGGGTGATACTAATTCCATAGTGATGTAAAGGGGTCGCGAATCACCGGCCCAGGCCAACCGTAAACCCTATACACGAAGTCCTGGACCGTAAACACTGATACAGCAAACCCTACACTCTAAACCCTAAACGTTAGACAGTAACACCCTAAACCCTAAACACAAAATCTTAAACCCTTAACATTCAACACTGAACCCTAAGCACTAAACCCTAAACCCTATTTTCCTGGCAAGGTCTCGAATGAGAAAGCATGCATGCACAGTGAGTCGCAGGCAAACATGCCTAAAAGACTTTAGAGGTTCTGTAGAGGTTTATTCGAGAAAACACGGTACAATGCGTGACGTTTTCTTACCCCCCAAAAGGTCGATATCAAGTCTTTCACTTCCATTTGGACACATATCTCAAGGCTCTTTGATCAAATAGTTAAACAAATAGGGCGTACGGTTCAAGGTTTTTAGATCATATAAGGTAAATATTTTGTCAAATGGCCTTCATCTTATTTATATGGGTAATCCATATTGCTTTTTTGCGGTGAATTGGATAATGAACAGGAAATATTCTAACCTTGGCTTAGAGGCTTCAGTCAGGCGGATGAAGATCTCGGGAAAGAGGAGATCTACATTTTTGGGCGGCCCTATGCGACTCTCCCGAAGCTCTCCCATCGCTTAAGTCTGTGAGGAAACAGCAAAGGAGTTGGCTTTGAGGAGTTTACTGCACGTTGGCAGCCCCACTAGCTTGCTCCAAAATTTCCGGTCCACAGCTACTCTGTGAAGTTGGAGAAATGCATGTGGGAGTTGTGGGGACTGTGAGGGAGGGGGTGTAGGTGACTGTAAAAGCCAGTGCCAAGCCATTCTCGCGCACTGTGCTGTCCACCTTGCCCTTCTCCTACCTGGCCTTAGGCCATCCCCTACTGTCCCTCCCCTGCATAAAAACGCATGAGTAAAGCAGCAGTTTCGTTCGATCTGTTCATGATGCTGCCTTAGTATGTGCCCGAAAAATTTGAGTTGTCGCTTGTGGATGTGATGTGTGAGGGGTGGCTGAAGGGTGAGGTGTCTGATGTCTTGGTTGGTGTGAGTGTGTTTGTCAGGCTGGAGCACCTCTGTGAAGTAAGTGCTGCCTATTCTGCAGATCTTCCGAAGGCACTGTGAGTGAAAGGCCTCCAATCTGTGAAGATCTGACTGGGTGAGGGCAGCTGACTCCATGCCATATGTCAAGAGTGGGACAAAAACTGCATTGTAGATCCGAAGCTTCCACTTCCTGGAGATATCTGCGTGTCTCCAGAAGCTGTGAAGTGCATTGAAGTTCTTCCGGGCCTTGGCAATGCGCTGAACCACATCTCTGTGAGAAGAGGAGTCGCTGCTCAAGATGACCCCCAAGTATTTGGCATGGTCAACCTGCTGGACGGGAGTCCCATCTGTGAAGTGCACCGCGCCGCTGGAGGCAGGGGATCTCAGCAACATACACTTCTTGACATTCAACCTGAGGTTGCTGTGAGCAGCTGTGGTTTGAACCGCATGGAGAAGCTGTTCGGTTTTGGCGGCAGTGCCCGACATGAGAGCAGTGTCGTCAGCAAACGCCAAATCGTAGAATGCCTGGTTTTGGCTGTAAAGCCATGGCAGATTTTGCCCGTTCGCTGTGATGGCAACGTCCACGTCGTGCATGATCATGCTGTGCACAATGAGGAAGAGGTAAGGGGACAGCGGGCACCCCTGCCTGATACCTGAACTAGCTGTGGCGGTGGAGCTGGTGTGTCCCGCAGCGGACACATTAAACTGTGGGGCCGTGTAAATGTTGCTAATGAGGTTGGTGAGGTGATGTGGGACGCCGTAGCGCGTGAGTGCAGTGTGGAGGGCTTGGGGGTGGATTTTGTCGAAGGCTTTCTCCCAGTCCAAAAGTACCACATAAAGGGAGTTGCCCGTAGCTTCTGCCCGCTCCAGCTGTCTCCGCAAGATGTGGATCGGCTGTGAGGTTGATCGGTTGGCGCGAAAACCGAACTGTGTGTCTCGAAGCCTGTGATCCAATCCCCTCTGCAACCGAAGATGGAGAATTTTTGCCAGGAGCTTGTAAGCCGTGTTGAGCAACGAGATGGGCCGGTAGCTGGAGGGATCTGTGAGGGATCCTTTGCCTTTGTAAATTTCCACCACTATTGCAGCCAGCCAGTCATGCGGGACCTGACCTGTGAGGAGAGCTCTGTTGAGGATCTTCAACAATGCTTGCTGATTCTCAGCAGTAAGCCACTTCCAGGCCTCGGCTGGAAGGCCGTCCGGCCCTGGAGCTTTGTTGTTGGCTAGGCCGGCCACCGCGTCTTGGTACTCCCGAATGCTGATGGGACCGACGTTGATGTCGGCAGCGTCCCAAATCGGGGCTGTGGGGCCTGTGTAGTCCTGCTGTGGGGGGGCCCAATGCTCGTCGCGAAGGTAGTCCGCGAACGTTTGCGCCTGCTGGGACTGGCTCGTCATGTGGCCCTTCGCGTTTTTGATGGAAACTGTACGCGGCTTGTAGTCCGAGCGTACGCGTTTGATCCATCGCCATTTGTCGCGTGGGTCCAAGGCGGCTTCTGACTCCAGAAGCCGAGCTTTGAGCCAGCTGGCCTTGTCTTTTCGCGCTTGCTTGCGGATGCTCTTGTGCAACTCGGACTCCAGGTCCCAGCGCTGTGAGGAGCGGGCTTCCGCCCTCTGTTGGATCAAAGTCCACGTGGCGTCCGTGATCCAGGGGTGCTTCTGGCGAGGTGGCTCCTCTGGAATGCAACTTTCCAGAGCAGCAGCGGCGGCCTGCCTGAAAGGGGCCCAGAGTTCCGTGGGGGTGTGGATGAGAGGGAGGGGTGGCTGGTGGCGCGTGTCGGGAGTGTCTGTGGTGGCTTGGCTGTGGTTGTGGAGTGCCTCTGTGAGGTGCGCGTTGAAGCAGGCTATCTGCTCTTGTGTGGGGTTTCGCACGCGGCGCGGCTTGGCTGGTTTGCGCTGAGAAGCCTTAGTGCGCACTTTGAAGGTGATTTTCACCAAAAAGTGGTTGCTGTTAAGAGCCGCTTCTGGCGCGGTGTCCACATCGTGGATAAGGTTGCGCCATGCTTTGTGAATGAGCGCATGGTCCAGTTGGACCTGGTCGCCATTGGGACGGGTGTGTGTGTGTGTAGCGATGTTCCGGTGCTTTCCGCATCCAGGTCTGCGGAACGCAGAGGTCGTGCGCGTCAATGAGGTCGCGAAGTTGGCTTTGGTTGGTGGGGCCTGCCATAGTGTTCTCCTCCTCATCCTGTTGCTGGGTTTTGTCCCACTGAAAGTGGGGGCCCACTGCTCCTGTGATATCCTGTAGCTCTTCAAGAAGCTGTGAGTTGAGGTCTCCCACGATGAGAAGAGGAGAACGCTCTTTGTGGGAGTGTATGTGGTTGTGGAGCTGATCCCAATACTGGTCTCTCTGCTCCTGCTAGGAGATCTACATAACAAGGATTATTCATCAGGGAAAAGGTGCGAAGAGAATGAGTGAATAAGAAAGCATATTGAATTCATGAGCAGGAGAACGATGTGAAGGAAACCGCCGTACATGAATTACAGGTAGTTCTATTATATGGGCACGTGCCTGTACTTGAATATACTTTATTACTAGCCCGTACATGTACCAAAACAATGAAACTTATTCATTAATTTCGGCTGTTCGTGCGTTTGTGAACAATGCATGAGCGCGAACTATCTTAATTAAAATTCGACATGTTTACGAGATTTCAAAAAGTTTCTTGCAACGCGACACGTCGTGCTCCGAGGCTTCAATCTCTGTCGCAGCTCTTCCGCCAAGCCTCTACAACCATAAGGAAGAAAAACGAGATCCCAGGTTTTGCGGGCCTTGGCCGATCTGCAGGCCGCGGGGTGCCCCCTGGGTGTGACAGGGGGGCTCAACCCGGCCTACGCAGCCGCAGCGCTGACTGGCCAGCGAGCGCCCAACACCCAGGTCTGGCAGGCCTGGGATGCCAGCAGCGGCCGAACCACCGCGGCCATGGCCTGGCACCAGCCCTTTCCCCACAGGCTCGAGGTGCTCGTGGTCAGCAGTGTAGAGCAGTGTCAACTGCGTTGTTGTTGCTCTGTTCTGGCTTTGTGCGGCAACGCCGCTAGAAAGAAAAGGTCTCGTGCTGCCAGTGGGTTTGCGATCCACCCATTGGACATGTGAGTTTCGCGTCTGCGCAGCAACTGACCAGAAATCTCCCCCAGATTGCAGCGTGTTTGGAGTAATTTTCGTGGTTTTTACCTGGGGACCCCAGCAACAGCACAGGTGAGGCAAACAAACTGTGAAGGCCTCGCGCACTCCGCAGCTCGACGGATGTGGGCAAGAAGCCGGAGCTGTGCAAACGCTTGGCTGCCATTCGGGACTTTGTGATTCCGAGCCTGCCTGCACAGGCTGTCCTGCGCAGCAATTTTGCACGGAGTCCTCGCAAATTTCTGGCCATGTCTGTGATTTCTGTCAGGCGGAGTCGACAGATGGAATGAAGCAGGTGCTGATGATATTTTCTGGTGAAGCCAGGGTCCTCCTCTTTTGCTGTAGCTGGCTTGTTCAGACCACGTTCCTGCTAGCTCTTCTTCTTCCGCCCTTTCCCTATCTAGGGTTCAGGGTAAACGGAACGGTGCGACCTCATGCCGCAACCACCCGCTTCCACGGGGCCAGCCGCGGGCGTCTGACTCGGTTGACGTTGAGAGCATAGCTAAGGGCTTTTCTGCGCCCAATTCCCAGGCTTGCAGTTTTGACACGAGGATGTGCCCTGTTCTTGCGGTCAGTAACGGGCCAATTTGCACTATTAATCTGATTATGTATGCTTATTAATTTTATTGCTATCTTTATTCTCGCACACTGTCGCTTCCACCACTATATACCTTTAACATTGAAATCATAGGTGCCAAAGACAGCTTCGCGTGGCAAGGCTTATCTCAAGCGCAACTGGGGAGTGGCAATTCTCAAGCCCTAGTGGGAGATGTTGGGAGTGGCAAAACGAGATGTTAAAGGCCGGTAAGGGGTGCGCCAGAGCCTTACAGCAGACGCAGGCTGCAAATTTCTGAGCCCTGAAAAGGTAATCGGCCTGAGCCCACATGTTGTTTGCCTCGGGCCCTAAAAAAAAAAAAAGGAAAAGGCGGGCGGCGTATTGTTGTATCTTTCTCACATGTTATGTTGCGTGAAATGTGTTGCACGCTACAAGTTCCACCGTTTATATGAGTTGATGTTACTACGCATGCTCTTATTGCGGTTGTTTATTATCTATGGTAGCTAGGTGCCAGGTTCACGTGCCTAACCCACAGCTTCAAACGGAACTGGTTGGTGCCAAGCCCTGCAAGGAGATGTCGGGAATAGCAAGCCCTAAAGGAGATGTCTGGCAACTTCCTAAACCTAGAAAGAGATGTTGCGTCAGCCAAGCAAAAGCAATTGTTCTTTGGTCAAACCCTAAACACTGAGAGCACTGAAAAGACACGATTGCTGGCAACCGCTAAGTCCTAACAGGGGTTGGTGAGTGGCCCGAAAATGAGGTGTTGGGGGCAAGCGCTGAGTAAGTCTAGAAAATGCTGGGAATAAAGAACTCTCACCCTTGAACAAGCACGCTGGGAGTGGCAAGCCGTAAGCCCCAAAGGCAAGTCGCGAAAGTGCTGGGCGGGTGTCAAAAAAACCATCTGTGACCGCGGCGACAACTTGAGCCAATATGTTGGGAATGACAAGCCCTGAGCCATAACAAACTTCATTGGCAGTGGTGTGTGACTCCAACATGTCCTGACTGTTAGGGTTGATTAGAAACCCCACAAATCGATGGTGACGCCCTAGCCTTAGCCCTAAAAGGAAGGCAGGCCTAAGGCGGGTGGCATTTTGCCTCGTAGAATCGTCTGTTCGGCATGTCAGTCTTTCTTACACTTCTCCTCCATTCCCCGCTTGAGCTTAGCACCTACCATCTCCTGTTGAGTTGAATAAAATATTGTGAAACAAGAATAATCGTGGCAACAATAGTGAGCGCAGTATGAATATTACTACCAGTAGCGACCGCAACGGCAATGAAAGGAAAAGTCAGAATGCCTAATCACAAAGCACAACAGTACGAACTATCAGACTAAAAACAGTCACGATAAATGACAGCTCAGATAAAGGATGGAAACTGTAGCGGCGTGACGGAAGTTTGGGCTCTAAAGTTAACATGTTTGTGGTGTGATTTGTGTATGTATCTGTTTGCACATGTAAGTTTAGCGTCAGGATGCCCACCTTATACATAAAGGTCCATGGCACTATGACCCTAGACCCTGCCACTCGCAAGCCTAAGCCCTCAAAACCGCTTGAACCCCTTGACATCCACTGAACCCAAAGCTTCTCTTCAGATCCCCGCCACCAAGGGATTCAGGGACAAACGGGGTGTCGGAGGGGTACAATTAGGAGCTAGGATGTAAGATTTAGGCTTTAAGGTTCACAAGTGTATATATATATATATATTTATATTTATATTTGTATTTATATGTACACGCAGTGCATTCCCCCTTCCATCTACATCTGCTATAGGTACATGTCGCGAGTACTTTTGCTGTGTCATGTATTGGGAATGAGGCGGCCCGCAGGAAAATGAGCCTTCCGTGTGGCTAGTACTTCTACATATATGACTAGCTACGGTTTAGGGTTTAGGGTTTAGGGTTTAGGGTTTAGGGTTTAGGGTTTAGGGTTAGACGCGCACAGAAGTCACAACTCCTCAGCCCCCTTCAAAGCCCCCCGAGCCTGCAAACCTGGAGGCTTATCAAACATACGGGGGTTTAGGATACTAGGGGACCCCTAACAAGGACCCCAATAGGGTACCCCTCGTATCGTAAACCCCGATGCAGGCAAAGACTGTGGTGGTGGTGACCCCGGCGGAGGAGCCGCCAGAGGCGAAGTCTGTCGCAGCCCTTGGGTTCAGGCTTTTTGGTTTAAGTTTGCGTTTCAGGGCACCTCCTCAGTGCCATTCATGAGAGTTCACGGATACTTATCATCGTGTTGTTCAGGTTCTTAGTACACTTCATGTGTAGAGTGGCTGGTGAAGCCCAAGTACGGTACATTCAACATCCCAATGACACCTTTGCATGAATCTTCAAGCAGACCCATTGGCTTTGCGCCTGCTGTTCGAGTCGACCTCTGTTCTATATCCCCCTTGGGTTTCATAGAACCCCAGAGGGTATTAAAAATAAAGGTTCTAAGGGGAGTATAGTGATAGCAAAACCCTAATTACTAATTACCCGCCAACAAAAAGGGGCGGCCCTGGGCCTCGCCATCAAAAACCTGCCCAAGCTCTTTGAGAAGCCTCCTTTGATCCCAAGAACGCTTGAAGTTACCTAAACCCTAAACCTTAAACCCTAAACCGGAAGCCCTAAACCCTAAGCCCTAAGCCCTATAAGATCCAAGCCCTGAGCCCGAAGCCCGACGCCCGAAGCCCTAAAGCCCGAAGCCCTAAAGCCGAAGCTTCTCCTGAGGAGCTTAGGACTCGAGCCTCGAATGCTGGAGCAGTCAAGAACCCTCCTGAGTCGCAAAACCTGGAGCCCTGGGCCCTGAGCCCACTAAGAAACCCCCATGTCAGTATATCCCACCCCCCCAAGCCTTCCCAGCATGAATGAAAGGTGCCATCAGCACCAGCTTCTCTGGATGGGCCCGGCCAAGCCACGCTGAAGGCGACGTGAGCTTGGGGGCTAGGGTTCCCGGAGGGTGCGCTTGGGGTACCCTAAACCTTAAATCCTAAACCCTAAACCCTAAAACTCTGCAAGTACTTCCCCTCTTAATCCAAAAAGCCTGCGCCAGGCACCCGATCCTGGATCGACAGCCGGGGCCCTGGGCTTGTGTCGACATCAGAGGGGACGTTGTGGGCGAGGTGCTATTCAGCGTGGGGAATTGCAGGTGTTTAGGGTTTAGGGTTTAGGGTTTCGGCTTAGTAGGGTTGAGGGTTTAGGGCTTAGGGCCTAAGATTTTATGGTTTAGGGTTTAGTTGTTTCAGGCTCGAGGTGGGTAGTTTATGATTAAGATGTTGTTGGCTGCTCGTTTCTGTTGCTGGTCGTTGGCAGGACGTGAGCCCCATATACACCCCGTACACAGGGTTCAAGGTCGAGTGTTGTAGGGGCTTACCTGAAGGTTAATGGTTAGTTATAAGAAGGGTTATAAGTACCCTAAATAAGGTTATAACCAGTTGTAAGTTACCCTACTTATAACCCCCACTTAGAACTGCCCATGAACCTCCAAGTAAGGGTTTCCGGATGCAAGGCAGGGCCTTATGGTCTAGGCGCTAGGCTTTGCAACTCAGATGCGTTCACATAGCCTTTGTTTGTGCTCGCCTTCTGTTTGCTCCTAGTTTGCTTAAATACATGTCCCTTAGCACTGAACAAGCAGCTAACAGCCTTAAGCTCTGAATCCTCAACATGGACATATCTTCACGATGTTACGTCGGATGGATGTAATTCCCATCGTTAAGTAGTTGTACAGTCCCCCCGGACAGTCCCACGCAATCTGGAACAACGAGGCATCTTTTTAATAGCTGCCCAGGCATAGTCGCGAACTTCCGAATGAAATCCATGTAGAAATATTCTGCTAAGTCACATATAATCCTATTACAAATCAAAGGTTACCCTTTCTTGGGCTAGGGTACTCAGCCCCTACTTGGAGGTTCAAGGGTAGCTATGAGTGGTGTTAGAAGTAGGGCAACTATACTTATAAATAGTTACAACCTTATTTAGGCCACTTCTAACCCTATGATAACTACCCATGAACCTCCAAGTAGGGTTGTGTGAGCGGGCCACTTCTATCCCTAAATCGTAAACCCTAAACCCTAAGCCCTAAACCCTAAACGACCATTTTGCTCTGCTATTAGTGGCCCGTCGCCACAGGGCCCAACGCCGAAGAGCCGTGCAGCCAAGGCATTCGGGCTTCAGGGTTTAGGGTTTAGGCTTTAGGGTTTAGGGTTTAGGGTCATGGGTAGTTGTAAGTAAGGTCATTATAATTAGGGCAACTCTACTTATAGCCTGACTTA